CAGTCCAGTGGCACCTTTAAGACCAAGCTTTATTCAGGTACAAGCTCTCCCTCCTCTGCAAGGACAGATCTGCACGTTCCCCACCCCCCCCAATAGCTAGCAATCCAAAACAGTCCAGTGGAGCCTGAGCGGTGGGTGTTGCCTTCTGACACACTTCCGGTGATGTCAGGGGGTGTGGCATATGCAAATAAGTTGTGCTAATGAGTTATGCTAAGGAACTCCTGCACCTCTTTTTCTATGAAATGACCCCTGCATAGAGCCCAGCCTCCAAACCAGCCGTTTTCTCCAAGAGAAACTGATCTCCATAGCCTGGAGATCAACTGTAATGGGGGTGTGTGTCTATCACCTATCGTTCGGATTGATCCCAACAAGCAAATGGAACAAAGGATGCAGCTTTATTCAGCACACAAAATAAATAAATAATAACTTTCCCACCCACCGGGTGCGTTCAGACGCGCCGTTTGATCTGGTGTCGTCACGCTTCAGAAACTGATTTTATCTGTGCGATCACGCAGTCAACATCTGCCTCCCGTCCCCAGCCGTTGGTATCCGGCTCAAAACCGCTTCAACCCGGAGTATTTTGTTACCAGGTCCAAAAGTGGTTTTTTCTCAGCTCTCCCGTTTAAAGCCGCATTTCCCCCCCGTGTGATTGCTCCTCCAGTGTCAAGCCACTTCCGGTTTAAACCCCCTCCCTGCTTGGAAGCTACCCGAGGCTTCCGCTTTTCGCCCGCCATTTTTTAAACATCGGCGGTGCGCGCATAGGTGGAGCTCTGCTACCGTGTTTAAAAAAACGACATTTAAAAGGTCACTAGTTTTAGCGTTTAGATGAGTTTGGGATCTCACAGAGGTCGTTTTCGGGTCAAACGTTTAAAGGGAAGTCTTTTGTTGGAGGGGTTGGATTGATTCGCCCTGGTGGGTCTGCGCATGCGCTGTGGTAGTTTTGGCCCCCCCTTCTACAGAGGGGCGCCTACGAGCATGCGTGAACTGAGAATTTTTTTATAAAAACCCACCGACACACGCTCCCGCGCGTCGGTAGTGTAGACGCCGGGGAGCAACATGACTGCGCGGTGAGGCGGGATAAGGGAGGTAAGCGTGATCGCGATTATCCAGACCAAATATAATCCGGTTAGAGCAGGAGCAGTTTAACCCGCTCTCACCACGCCGTCTGACCGCACCCACCCTGTGACTTGTATTGGATGGGAAGTCTCCTCCAGATGTTTGGCAGTCCAAAAACACTGAGCTGGAGCCAAGTAGCCTTTTCTGCAGCTTGCTGCCATCACACCCAGAGACCTCACCCACTCCTGTATTGTATTCCCACCTCCAGGTGCTCTTCATTTGGGTAGAATTTAACCCCCTAAGACTGCCATTTACCAGCCTCCTCGACTTGCAATGGTCTTCCACAGTTTTTCCACGGGGGGGGGGGCAGGGGGGGACCTGGCAACCCTAACTCTGTGTTGCGAAACTCCTGGAGATTTGGGGGGCAGAGCCTGGGGAAGGTGGGTTTTTGGGGGGCAGGGAGGGACCTTAGCGGGGTATAAAGCCATAGAGACCCGCCCCCTTCCAAAGCCATTCCCTCCAGGGGAAGTGCTCTCTGTAGTCTTCAGATCAGTTGTAATTCTGAGAGCGTTCCAGGCACCACCTGGATGTTGGCAAGCCTATCCCTGCCTCCTCCTTCCCACTGCAGCCCAAAGACCGCCATAAAATTCTGCTCCTGGGAGGCCACGATGCCCTGAGGAATGACAGGAGGGGAAGTCTGCAGTGGGAAGGGGGGAACTGCTGGTGTAGTCTGGGTCCAGCCCATTGTATTGGCAGAGCCCCGGCTTCCCTCCTGAAACCACTGCTTCGACATTCAAGAGCAACAACAACAACAACAACAACAACATTAATATTAATAGATTGGATTTATACCCTGCCTTTCACTCGGAGTCTCAGAGCGGCTTACAAATTCTTTTCCCTTCCCCTCCCCACAACAGACAACCTGTGAGGTAGGCGGGGCCGAGAGAGATCTGACGGAAACGGCTCTGAAAGAGCTTGTGACTGACCCAAGGTCACCCAGCAGCTGCAAGTGGAGGAGTGGGGAATCAAACCCGCTTCTCCCAGATTAGAGTCCGCGCACTTAACCACCACACCAAACTGGCTCCTGCCAACACTCCTCAACGACAAAGAGCCCCCCCCCAAATGTCACATGATGGTATCTTTGACTTTCTAGCTGTCTTTTTGTTGCAGTCCTAAGGAAGAAAGGTTGGGCCAGGCCACCAACACAGCATACACATCAGGGCTCCCAAGTACTTACCTTAATTCGGCGGGGGATGTATAGTTCTTTGCGGGACCATTCCTGCGGGGAAAACAAAGGCGCTGCACTATTCCGTCACTCAGATGTGACATAGGCACGTAGCCGGGCGACGCTCTAGCAATGGGGCTGGAAACTCGATGGTACCATCGAGTTTCCAGTCCCATTACTAGAGCGTTGCCCAGCTACGTGCCTACGTCACATCTGGGCGACAGAATAGTGCAGCGCCTGTGCTCCAAGCAAGAATCTTCCGGCGGGGAAGCACGTGTCCCTCGCCAGATCGAAAGTAGATACTTGGGAACCCTAATACACATATAACAAGAACAAGTTCTGTGGCTCAGATGAAGAGCTCTCATAGTTTGCCATTTTGAGAGATGCCAAGCAGATGGCTCTGGGAAGCTCTCAAGCAAGGCCTGAAGGCTGTACACGTCCCACTGTCTGTCCTTGCGAGGGGTATTCAGAGGCAGATTGCTTTTAAACGTGGAGGTTCTGGTGAGCTATAGTGGCTATTAGCCGTCAATAACTTTATCTTTCACACATTTCTCTACTGTTACGGAGACTGAATTCCACACTGTCGGTATCACCTTGCTCACCTTTTGCACAGCATTGCAATTTCCGTTAAAAAAAAATTTGCAACGAGTTCTTCCAAAAAAAAAAAAAAATTGCCAGAAGACAAAGAGTTTTTGGCACTCCCCCCAAAAAACTATTATGAAAAACCGAGTAGAATCAGAGAATCACAGAGCTGGAAGGGCCCATAGTTTTGGCCTGGCTCAGAGTACATTACAGGGTTTTCTCATCTTAGCGACTTCACAATTGATCGAGCCATTAAAAAAAATTACAAGTTTGCATCGCTGGAGACACCCCCAGATTTCTCCGCTCTCCCTCCCACTCGGCGGCACCGGCAGAGGTGCCAGACGCCTCCGAGCTCCTGGCAGCTCCAGCCGGTCCCCTTTCATCAACAGAGCTCTTAGGCGGCTGAGAAAACGTCTTACCAGATTAGTGAAGATATACGTGTAATAGGCCGACACCATTCCCAGTTCCGCTGCCTGCAAAGAAGAGGAGGAGAAGGGTTAGAGAGGCCGGAGTGACAGTTCACGCCTGCAATGCAAGAAATCCGCCTTCAATAAACTTTTTTTTGCAGACTCATGAATGCAACCTGTTAGAAGACAATGCAGGCTTCTGCCATGGGCCTGATCCGTTCAATACTTATTTAATTTATCGGTATCCCACCTGAGTTGCCAACCTCCAGGCGGTGTAATAAAAAATTATTTATTTATTTATTTTTCCTACTTATACCCCGCCCTCCCCAGTGGGCTCAGGGCGGCTTACAGAGGCAAGAACAACTTGCCATGGTAAAACAATATATACATAACAATTTAAAACATATGCTACATATTAAAATCTAATAACAAAGTGCTCAGTGCCATTCATAATCTAAAGATGGCGGATCGAATGTCCAAAGTCCCACGAAGACGGCAGAAGGATTCTTCCATAGTAGGTGTTTAATCGGGACCTCAGGGCGGTGGTGGTATAGTGGGGGTGGCGGCTCCTACTCGAAAGCCTGGCGGAAGAGCTCCATCTTGCAGGCCCGGCGGAACTGCATAAGATCCCGCAGGGCCCTGATCTCCTCTGGGAGCTCATTCCACCAGGTAGGAGCCACCACCGAAAAAGCCCTGGTCCTCGTGGCGGCTAGTTTGACATCCTTAGGGCCCGGGATGACTAATAAATTTTGGGCCCCTGACCGTAGTGCTCTTGGGGGACATACGGGAAAAGGCGGTCCTTCAGGTAGGTTGGACCCTGGCCATGTAGGGCTTTATAGGTAACGACCAGCACTTTAAAAACTACAAAAACAGTGGAATTATAACTACGACAACCTTAATACTTCAGTATTTTCTTATTATAACGCATCTCTCTTTACAACAGTACATATCTTAGTCACGATGTTCACCTAGACAAAAAGGCTGTTTTGTTTTTTTAAAGATTTTGCAGAAATGACACATAGATGTAAAATGGGGGCTACATATACATACCTATATTATCTAGCTGTCACCTCCTGCAATGTTTACTACAATGATTATCACCAAATAGTTTTGCATAAGTATTTTGCACAGGGGTTTTTTGTTGTAGAAAAAGCCCAGCAGGAACTCATTAGCATAATAGGCCACACCCAATGACATAAACTCATTAGCATATTAGGCCACACCCCGTGCCTTCCCTTGGCTTGCCCGGGCGCCCTGCGGCTGCGGGGAGCCCAGACAAGCCAGCCCTTGGGCAGGCCGGGGAAGTCACGGGGAGGCATTTAAATGCCTTCCAGATCCTTCCAGGCCCCCCCCCCCAGCCTGCCCACCTCCGAGTTGCCGGGGTGTGTGTGTCGCTCTTCAGGCCTTCCATCTGTAGCCATGCATGCAGAGGTTTTGGCTGTAGGGGGCGTGGCCAACTCTGAAGCCAGCCGGAACTCCGTTCCTGTGCGTTCCTGCCCAAAAGTAGCCCTGATTTTGCATATTAATATGAAAATGAAATAAGAACATAAGAACATAAGAGATGCCAATGTTGGATCAGGCCAAAGGCCCATCCAGTCCAACACTCTGTATCCCACAGTGGCCAGAAATACCAGTGCCATCAGGAGGTCCACCAGTGGGGCCAGGACATTAGAAGCCCTCCCACTGTTGACCCCCCCCCAAGCACCAAGATGACAGAGCATCACTTGCCCCAGAGTCCCTATCTATACCTTGTGGCTAATAGCCACTGATGGACCTCTGCTCCATATGCTTATCTAATTCCCTTTTGAAGCCGTCCATGCTTGTAGCCGCCACCACTTCCTGTGGCAGTGAATCTACGTTATCTCCTAAAATGTTCATAGGACTATATTGTTCATTTGTAATAGTCTTCCAACCCATTTATAAAATCTTGACCATGTATTATGGAATCTTCCTTCTTCTTGTCCCCACAAAATCAAAGACCACTTGTCCATCTCAGCCGTTTCAAGAGTTTTATATATCAGTTCTTCTTTAGAAGGTAGTTTGCTTTTCCTCCAATATTTAGCATATAAGGTTCTTGCATTGGGAAGTTGGGCTCTATGGCATGATGCCCCAAGCCCCGCCCTCCTCAGGCTCCACCCCCCCCAATCTCCAGGTATTTCCCACCCCAGAGCTGGCCACCCTATATCCTGCCTCTCTCCTCAGTGAGGACCCAAAAGCAGCTTACGTCGTTCTCCTCAACTCCCTTTTATCCTCACAACAACCCTATGAGGTAGGTTAGGCTAAGAGAGTGCGACTGGCCCAGGGTCGCCCAGCGTTATACACCACTGAGATCCGTCCCCTTCTCAAACCCTGCTTTCCCCAGGTTCTACCCCCTCCCCCAAATCTCCAGGAATTTCCCAACCTGGAATGGACATCCGCATTGGGGGTGGAATACTTGAGCTTTAGATTTAATTGTGGCTTCCAGTCCAAGAACGATTCCTCCAACCCAGGGGTGGCCAAACTTACTCGACGTAAGAGCCACATAGGATAAATGTCAGATGTTTGAGGGCCGCAAGACATGAACAGATATTGCATGTGTTTATTGGAAGATATGCACATTTGCTTTTCATTAACATTAAATGAGACTGCCAAAAATAATCACAGAAAGCTTTAAAGGCAGATATCGATAACGATATTGATTCGTCCAAGGATATTTAATGGCTAATGATGTTCGGCTTCCCCAGCCACCCTGCCGGGAGCCGCACAATATGTGTGAAAGAGCCACCTGCGGCTCCTGAGCCACAGTTTGGCCACCCCCTGCTCCAACCTTTCCAAAATGATTTTGTCCAATTCCAATTTCCAATAACCTTTATTGGCCTAACAGATTTTGTCTGTTGCCTAAGCCGTCGAGGCAACAAACGCTGAATAACTAACTTCAAGGCTAGCCGGGGTGGGGGGTGGGAATCAGTAAGGTTGAGGAGGCGCTGTGGCCCAGTGGTGGAGCACCTGCTTGGCAAGCAGAAGGTCCCAAGTTCAATCCCCGGTGTTTCCAGTTCAAAGGACCAAGCAGTAGGTGATGTGAAAGGTGATGTGAAAACTGTAGTTCTGGTAAGAGCTGTCCTTGAAAACCAGCAGTCTCTGTCAAGAGCTCTCTCGGCCCCACCTGCCTCACAGGGTGTCTGTTGTGGGGAGGGGAAGGGAAAGGAGTTTGTAAGCCGCTCTGAGACACCTTTGAGTAGTGAAGGGCGGGGTATAAATCCAATCTCTTCTTCTTTTTTTTCCTCCCAGGGTGTCTGTTGTGGGGAGGGGAAGGGAAAGGAGTTTGTAAGCTGCTCTGAGACACCTTTGGGTGGTGAAGGGGGGGTATAAATCCAATCTCTTCTTCTTCTTCTCCGCCTGAGACCCTGGGGAACTGTTGCCAGTCTGAGTAGACAAAACTGACCTTGATGGACCGAGAGTCTGGTTCAGTAGAAGGCCTCTTCATGTGTTCATGTGTGTTCACGGGCCCCTGAAAAGCAGAAACTTCAGGTACCAACCTGGGATTTCTGCAGCCCAGGATTAAATGGCTTTTCTTGGAAAGATGAGCGGGATTGCCGACTGCGAAGCTGCAGAAGCCGTGTTGTGAAATTGACTGATTGTAATTGAGGTGGGCGCCTGCGCTCCTCTCTATTTAGGGGTCTGTCACCTGGACGGCTTTTTTTAGCTCTGCCACGACGCAAGGCAACAATTTGGAATGTGCGACACTTAAACGAATTTGCCTATGCAAACGAGCAACACCTTCTCCCACAACTAGGTTCTGATCTATTTCGTGTTTCTGCTTCTGTTCAGCAGCTTTCCACTTCATTAGGAAGCTGGGGGAGGTGAGAGAAAACACAAATGAACCGTGGTTCCCCTTCACTTCTGGAAAAACCCATACTTGTCGGATTGGGCCAGCGGTCCCACTGATCCAGCATCCTCTTTGCAATGGGTCCCAGGCAGAGCATGAAGGCAACACCTCTCCCATGCTACTTGTGCACAAATCCCTGTCACTCCAAGGAATGCGGCTTCCAAACATGGAAGTTGCATTCCAGCAACAGCCATTGTTGCTGGGTCTATCTAGCCGTGGCTTTTCTAATATCCTTTCAAGGCTGTTGACGTTCATGGGCAACGTCATACTTTTTGGCAGTGAGTTTCATAAGGCACGGAGCCGCGGTGGCTCAGACGTTAAGACGCTGAGCTGCAGACCAGAAGGTCTGTAGTTCGGCAGTTCAAGACCCGAGTGCTGCATGACGGAGTGAGCTCCCGTCTCTGGCCCCAGCTCCTGCCAACCTAGCAGTTCGAAAGCAAGAAATTGCAAGTAGATAAATCGGTACCGCTTCGGTGGGAAGGTAACAGCGTTCCGTGCACCTTGGCGTCTAGTCATGTTGACAGTTAATCTTCAGCACTCAGATCAATAGATCAGCAGGATCTAATGTGACAGCTGACAAGCTGTAGATAACTAGTACCAACTGGTTCTGACTGGAACTGAAGCAAGTTCAGTCATCATGACTCAGCATGAAGCTGATTGGTTGTAATTTGTATATAAGTGGGTGTGTTATAGCTCTGTATCCTTCTCCTTATTCTCACTGTGTCTGGCGGAGCGCTTTGTCGGTGGAGTGTAAATATTATTAATAAACTTGTATATAGTGCTATATAGGACCTCCACAGCAGTGAATGCTGGTGAGTGCTGAAGTGACTGGAAAAGTCAAGGTGGCTGGTGTTACAGAAAAGGTGCCCCAGGTGTACTGCGCAACAGGCCACATGACCACGGAAACCTCTTCGGACAGCGCTGGCTCTTCGGCTTGGAAACAGAGATGAGCACCACCCCCTAGAGTCAGATTCGACTAGCTTTCGAGGAAGGGAAACCTTTACCTTTACCTCCACAAGGCATAGTTCACTTTCACAATTCATTGCCACAAAGTGTGGCCATTGTGTGTTTCAAAACACAGCTAGGCATGTGCGCGCATGTGCAGCTAAAATCATGGCTGTGGTCACCATCATGCTCAGTGGGCGCCCAATGTCTATTAATGCAGATTCACTCGCATACACTGTGGTTATTTTAACAAAAC